AGTATCAGTATCAATAATCGGAGTATCTATTTGCACGTGCTTGAAAGGCCTGATGCAGAAGCCGACGAAATGACAGAGCACGGAACGTGCAAATACTTCTAATGGCAAACTAATCTAGCGTGCGACCGCACTTAGTTATGGTCAGTACATCAGCAGCAATGACGACAGTGTACTTCGTTCGATAACAGCTTTTATTACGGTTTAAGGCCAATGAAAGTATTGCATTATAGGCCTAATGCCGGCGCTTCATTGTCACAGTTATAATTTGCGCACTATTATTAAGCAGCTCTGGTTGCTATACACAATTTCATTCGTTACCACCACCGTTCAGCCAGACAGCATCGACGGGACCGGGATTGGCTCCAAAAGCGAAGGGCGTAAATCGTCAGAAGTGAATTGACTACTAAACTAAGCCTTTATCTAGCTCTAGATATTTCCCGTATAACTGACAGCTGAACACTATTGGGGACTCCTATACGCCATGTTCTGAAAACATCTTGTGGGTAATATCAGTCAGTCCTGTCGCCATTCATTTCAAAGGAGCCGATTCAGAATTGACCAGTACGAATCATATGTTACCTATTAGTTGACACCGCTGGTAGCACGAATGTTTCAGCGAGGAAGATACGCTTAGACGTTTGATACTTTACGTATTCGGCGAGAACAAGCGACACATTGCGAGTCAATAATTAAATATAATTGAGGAAAACGTAGAACCACAGCATCGAATGGGGAATCGGAAGTGGAAATATGGAGTTTTTTTAATGCTCCTGTATATGCAAGTTGCTGGCAAGGAGCACAGACCACTATCTTGGCTCGTTGGTAGTGAAGCGGGGTCAAGCGGTTGACGCTGTAAAAAAAACTGACAGCCAACAAAGCGATCTTTGTCGATCTCTGTTGTCATATATTACAACTGCATCGACAGGATACGGACTCAAGATACGGACAGCAGTTATTAGGGCGGATTCCGCAAGTCATGTGTATGTAGGCGGCAATTGCGGGTTAGGTAGGCCAGCTAGTCGGCCTGTAGAGGTCGTCAGATATCCTACTTTGAATTAATCGTAGCTTGCTTGTTGCTTGGATTCCGCCAGGAACGAGTGAAAGAGCTGTGATTTTTTAGAAAAATGCCCGATAGCATTCGGCTTCTCCGACGATTTATCTAAACGGGAAAACTAGGCGGAGACCTGAATTGAACGAACATAGCAAGTGAACCTGAAGGCTCGCTGATGAGGATATGGAAAGTCGCCAGTGATTAAGCTAGCTTCACCAGACCGTTATGCATATATGCACTATATGACGATATCTGCCATAGATGGTTGTAGCGGCTTTGAAACTTCAAAGCTAAAATGTTTCAATCTTCATCTCAAATGCTGTCATTGATTTAGTTTAGACTGCTGAAATAATAGGGTTCGGAAGCTCAGAAAAGCTTTCATCGCCGGATAATTTCGTATTAGAATGACCCTTGGTTTATCTAAGTTTCGCCATGAATCTTCTGATCCACTTAGTCATAGGGTCGCAACATTTTTCTCAATATACAGTAAAACAAGTCTAAGACGAAAATACAACTCACATGTATCTAATTTTATTGTAAACAGATTGAATGACACATGATGTGGTAGTCATCGAAGGGGGCAGCTTGTAGGATACGGCCTTCTTTTTTTTTTACATTTATATCTTTATAACTACAAAAAGGAAAAGATTTGCAATCCGCTGGGCCTATTCTAGGTAACCTATTTATAGGTATAGGAGCAACTTAGCCCCAGGGAGGGCCTTTAAAAGTTAGCTTACAGGAAGTACGTGGATTATGAGGAGGATTTGTTTCATCATCTGCATGCCAAAAACTTGTTTCATGCTCAGGAATAATAGAGATATTGGGACTTGTTGCATCTATCTATGACGTTTGTTCCCCTTTTTGGCTCGAGTTTCCGCTTTACCAAAGTCCTATCCTCATATCGTGTTTCTACCTTGCGCGAGAACAGTATCGGCAATAACGGACAAACTAACGCCATGGATTGGCGCAATCAGAAAAGATCAATCGCGCACGATTCACAGCCAAAAAGGTTGTCGTGCCCATGATAACATTTCTGCGACATTGTCGTGGTTCATAATGGTTGTGGTAGAAGTAGTAGCAGATTGAGACCTATTGTTGTTTCAGCCATATCGATGACTATTGCAGTGATCGCAGGGATCTACGTAAACGAGCTACCAACGAAGCTGATAGATCCTACGACGTTGCGTTGACGCGTTCAACAGATCAAAGATCATATACAACAATATATAAAACAAGCTACATTTTAATACTCAATGTAGATTTGAAAGAGGCCCCACTTTTATGAAACACAGCACGTCATATCCACATTAACCGTACTGCTCACCTTGGCCTCCCTTCCCCCTGTACATGCGCACAGGACGGCGGAGCTCAATATAGTAGACGGAATGGTGTTCACCTCATTACCAAACTCGGCAATAATAAAGCAAGAATTAGACAGTGAGAAAATTTGATATCCGTTGAGAAGGATGACGTGGCCTTAAAAACACAATATATATTACAGTTATATACCGATTTGTAGGAAACAACATACCTTCATCAGTTAAAAAGCCAATTATCCTCCTGAAATTGTTACTCTAATCCAGTTTAATACAAATCAATTCTGCTAAATTAATCAATTTCATTCGATAGGTACATACGTAACCAAATCTTAACAAAAAGGAGAATCAAGCGTTACTTCCCGCAGTTTCTCACGAATCTCTTTATAAGAGTGAGTGGAATCACTTAGATTGCCATCCCCTTTAGACGTACGTCTCCAAGCCGCCACCGTCATCGCCTGTAGGGGCGATAAAAAAAAAAAACCCGCTATACAGTTCTTTTTAAACTTTGAGTCAACCCAAAATCGAAACGACGCTTCGAATCGTTCTATCCCCGTTTAGTCGAATTTTCGAAATTACGATGTTCCGATATTTTGCCAAGGCACGGCATCGATCAACGGACTGCCTACTAACATATAACTTACACCTCTCTGTTGTGAGCGTAATGAATAAGTTGCCCATCGATAAGTTCAAGCGCAGACGGCTTTTGTGAAATGGGAAATATTTTGTCGAACGATGCCTCGGGGCAGGCCCGAACTCAACACAACTCTTGTTCGTAAGCACTTCAGCGTCCTTAAATGGTCGCTTCCGCCACCATTGCTACTGTTGCTGCCACTGCTGTGGTCCCGTTGCCTACAGAGGCGCCATGAAGGAGTAAACATCTTTCAAGAGCCCCGAGCTTAAGTACGATTTTCATACATTATCAATGTATAACGGTAGGTTTGGCGGAGTGGACGGCAGCTAAAAGAAAAAGAGGAACTCCGTTTCGACGTCCGCCGGGCCGAAGGGCGTCAGGAAACTAGCTCTGTAAGTTGCTGGCGCAGGTCGTGAGACCAATCAGTCACCATGTCGAATGCAAGAGACCCACCGGCTCGCGGTTTTTTGCTGAATAAACGAAGTTGGGCTTAAGGGAAGAGTAAAAAAGAAGAATCAAAGGATAAGTACATGTCAAAAGTGTTTGGTAGAAATGCCCTTAATGTAAGATGAATGGCATGAGCTTTCATCTTAAGTCGTAAGATAGTGCATAGTTTGATCATAGCGCTGTGACTAAGAAGGACGACCTGTTTATTCAACTTAAATACGCTTTAATTTAAAAGCAATTTGCTCCATTTAGTAAAGGGGTAAATGGTTCAGAGTACGTAGTCAAATGTCAGATGGGTATTCCTTGTGTAGAGCACCACGGTCAGGAACAAAATTAACAGGAGACTTTGCTTGTGAATTAAAGGAATAGAAACCAGTAAGTTTAAAAAGCTTGGGAATGGCGTCGCAACTGATGGTGCCCTTCAAGACCAAGTTTGAAACGGCAATTTGAAACGGAAGAGTGACGGAAGAAAACGTTGATCGTGGGAAGTTCAACTGCCTGACAGATTTCAACGGCTAACGCAGCCGACCCGGACGGAATACTATGCATTGCGCAATAAGAATTCGAACGTCCTACGAGTCAGAAAGGGTTGCTGATCAGATATTTCCCTAAATCGCCTGCCGCCGACCGCAGTGTTGGCTTTCTCAGTCGGCCTGCAGGTACTAAGAACAAGAATTCGAAGCTAGGACGGATAGCGACACCAGCAGGCACGCTTCATTAGACTCTATTGTCACCGTCCGGTGCATGTATATTACGAGATCTACGTGAGCAACAGCTGCAATTCCTGTCAACAAGAGCCAGCAACAGACCCCAGGAATAAACTGAGAATCACGGCTACGTCATGTGACCGGCTTGTTCCTTGGGTGGTGCACTCCATTCAGTGAAATGCAGTGGCTTCAAGGTAGTTAGTTAAGATTTGAGAAGGTCTCCGTTGGTGGTCCGGGTAGTTGTGTGACTAGAGCGGCTAACTGACATTCCGCCTTTTCATAAGTGGCCCATTTACAAAAGCTTGCGGAAAAGTGAACCTTCCTTCGTTTTGGCTGTGCTATGGGCATGTGTCATGCGACAGGAACATCGCATACGATGTTCGTACTATGAAGGGTAGTGTGGCTGAATGTTACTGCATGCCTGAAGTAAGATAATTTTCCCTATAGTCAATATTGATATATTTTACATATAATATTGTTTATATATAAAAAAACAGCATAATAACTTGCATGGTTTTGCCGATAGTAAATAATCACGTCTTCGGTATGTACGAATATGTACACCGCGGGTTTCGATAGCTCCACGTGGATTTTTATATGTAGGGTATATATAGGTGAAGTAGACATTTCTTGACAGTCGGAAAAACCTTCATTTCATAATTGTTGAAGCAGCAGGGAGTAGAAAGGGTATTGTGACTAAGAAAGAACTTACCTATGCAACGCATCAGTAACAGGCATGCCCGAATATCATCTTGATATATCTATAATAACGTGTTATAATGCCGTAGCATTAGTAGATGTTAAAATACAATTAGTTGTAGTAATAAATCACTGTGGTCCTTCAAACGGTTTTATTACTAGGATCACTAGGAGTTTTACCTCGTAAGTCGTCAATTTGATGACCACCATTATTTATATGTTCCTGATGTATGCTTGCCAAAGGTTCGCGTAAAATTCAATATCGTTAGCAATTTTCTGCTTCGCTCGTCGTATGTAATGAACTATCTTTCTTTAAAGTTCGCTTAGTTTGTAACGCTTCATCAAGGTTATAAACGCAACATTTATGACATCTTTGTTGAGATAAAGTATGCATTACTTTTTCTTGGCCTAGTTTATGGGCGTTTGCTTTAACGACTGCGCCTTTAACGATAATACACAACTGATTGTTCTAGCGCGAACAGCTTATCTTCTACGACGCGTTAAAAAGGGCAGCCTATAGGCGTCAAACGTGATGATCGTGCGCCTAACCTACTAGGCTTTGTTAGCTTATTTATCTGTTTAATTTTTTTTGTCCAGAAACCCACGTCCAAATGTCTGTCCAATTGTACAATAAAGAAACAAAACGATTGTCTGCTTTTCGTTCGCGGTAGAACAATGTCCTATATCAAACGCAGGTACATGTCCTTAGAGAGGGGCGAATGAAAACGGGAAAAGTCAATCACTCGTCTATGCTAAATGGCCATTTAAACACTAGCTACAGGCTGCTGTCCTAATAGTACGTGAAGATTTTCTGTTATAGAATCGACGCGACTGTGCCGATCCCTAGTGTTTGTGATGAATTCGAATTGAACTTAATTCAATCATGTCACCTTGCCGAGTACTTTATTATCTTGCCTGTTTTCGCTCAAGGCAATGTCGTAAATGCTGACCCATTAAGTGCCTAAGTTTTTCCTCGTGAATAGCCGTTGTCGATTTGCCACTTTCCGGGGGCGTCGCATATAGATGCGGTGGTCTGAGACCTCTTCTACATTTTGGCTTGAAAACCTTGAATCCACCTTTGTCCTACTCCGTCTGCTTCTTCCAGTGCTGTTTTATGATCTGCCTCCGTTCATCGTTGATAAAAATTGCATTGAAATATTTCGTGAAAAAGGGCTTACAGGTAGCGTGAAGTAACCAGGTTAGATGGTCGGCACGAAATGTCTATCCTGTATAATGTACGGTGATCGTATAATCTTCTAAAGCAGAGATATAAAGGAAGACGCCAAGCGTTAGTGGAACAGTTAGAAAATGGAGCGTTGCTGGCTAAAGGTTGGTGTTTTTTTCCTATGTTGTTTTCTGTAAGCTTGAGGAACCTGTTATTCCTCGGTATTCGTTTCCAACAAGATGCTTGGAAGAATCGATGCGTGTAGACCCTACATAATGGCCACGGAGTGCCACCTGTCGCTCGTCGTATGTATGATACGACTTGACCTATTGAGCTCCAAAATCGTAGACACAATAACTTGTAGGCGCAAACTATTTGTGTATATTTATAGTCCCGAGTAACTTTCGAAATTCGTTGACATAAGAGATTATATAGTGTCATACATTACATAAATTAAGTTGGATGGTAAATAGTATCCAGTAAGAAGATTTTACAACAAGTGGAAAATTGAGGACTGAATTTGCTCCGCGGGCCTGCTAGCGTTGCACCTGAAAGGAACGAAAATATCTAATAGAACTAAATAATAAGCATAAGAGACACAGTAAGGAATTACCATTTAATTGGGTGGGATATCTAGACACGGGTTAATTGCATATTCAACTTATACCACTGTTATACTATATTTCATATAATGAAATAGCTAGCGTAAACCTTAAAGCACGCCTATTGGCCTAATCCGTAATTAAACAATATATTTTCATAGTTGAACGCACACGAAGTCCTATCCAGGTATGCTTTCCTCTTTCCGCTTTTGACTTGGGTTTAAATTGGCGAGCGGTTAGCTCAGATGAACGTATATTTCATTGATGAACTGAATATATTTCGTGCTACAACGTGTGTTGTAACACGCACCGTTGGATTAAAAAGAAATTGTAGGTGTTATAATCGCCCTTAGTAACTTGAGTTCCAAATTCACCAGCTGTGTAGCAGATAGGACAATCCTATCAAATTCAATTGTTGGTCCGTACCTGTATCGCTGTTCGTTCACAGTGCGACCACGATTCAGGATTTTAGATGGACCTTCTATGACGTTACATATGGCCAAACCTGTGTCCATTTGCAGGCCCGGCCCATCAGCCTTCAACAAGGTTCTTAACTCACTCACCTTAAGGTTGCAATTACATATCTGCGAATACTATTTCTGTCATTGATGTCAACAGTCTAGCTGAGAGCGAGACTCCCAGAGGGTAGTCGGTATTGTTATTATTCTATACCTAGCACCTTCGTCTCATGATAGCCCGAGCAGCGTACGAGCACGTGGTAGTCTAGGTTCAAATCCAAATGTGGGCATACCTCGTTTTATGCTACAAGCGAGCAGTCCGAGGTAATGCCTATCGGCTTAACGACAAACCGTGCACGAGCTAATGTTGCAAAGAATCATTCAACGATGTTTATCTCGATCATCGAAGTTTATCCATGAAAAAAAAATATTATCCGCTCATTTTTATTAAGTGATAAGCTTCGTAGATGTTTTAATTTAGTACTAGAGGTGCTCTATTTATTACGGTCTTCAAGCCATTACATATATTAAACGAAAATGTGTTCGGCGAGGGAACAGCTAGTGGTGCAGCCACCCTGATAGAGTATTCAACTCAGCCTTGTATCCATTGAAGGGACAGCGCGAAGCGAAAAAGATCTCAGTTTGATCCGGCCCTTTTTTACCAGCGCGTAAGAAAAGATCTACCGTACAACAAAGTATAAGTAACCGAAAGGCATCGGCTTTCGTCCCCTCACGAACAAGTTGGTTTATGACTTGCGGGGGTTGACTTCACTCCCTAGAGTAAGGTCAGTGTCAGTGGATAACCTGCAAACAGGCTAAATTGCATTGTGGCACTATTGTATCATGCATTTACCTGTCTGTCTTACCACCCAGTAGCCACTTTACCGTTAGTAAGGGGGTAGCTGTCTGTGTATTCTTTGTTTTGAACATTTCCTGCTTCGGTTTTCTTTTGCATCTTAGCATCTCTCGGCTTTTTGCATCCCTATTCGCAGCAGTTATATATCTTCTTTTGACCCCGACATGAGCATACTGCGGCCGCCAACAGTCGAGCCGTCGGGTAGCCTTCCTATCCACAGCTGCATAGAGTACAACCGTTTCTAATGGAGGCGTGAACGCGATAATACGGTAGCCTCATTCGCAGCGAAGGAAAAAGGGGGCAACGAAAATGATGGGGCAAAAAGAACTTGAAAGCTAGACAGCATCAACGACATCGACCACGAGCTAAAAACGTCTTGCTCCTTAGCTGCTATTTCCATAAGCCAGTATGTAGTAACCATAGGGGAGAACGTCCAAAAAGCATGCCGACAGATGAAAGAGAAAGAGGAACAACGAGATGGGGGACAGGTTTGAGATAGAAGGAGGGTGCAGATGGCGAAGTGAACTATATGATCACAAAGAAAAGGACTCAAGTAGTAATGTGATTCTGGCCTCGAAAAGATTCAGAGGATTCTTTCGGGAGTGATTTGCAGCAGCTGGTTTACCGAATTCTCACGCTAGGTTTAAACAAGTCCTCATTTACGCACCCGCCAGTAGAATCAGCCACGGTTAAGCTGAAACAATATTTAATAAAATGAAGGAAGGATGAACGGGAGATGAAAGGACCTTGAAGGAAGACGTCTGCTTAATGAAACGAGAATCTCAGTGAATGGCAAAATGAAAAGCGCTTTTGCTGCAGAGTAGATTCGTCAGAAAATTGAAGTGTTTATAATGATTGAAGCTACGCAGGGCACGACGACCTACGCAAATATGGTGATACATTAGGTGGTTGGTGAGCACCATATTAGACGATATGAACCCAATTTTATTTTTCTATCCTTTGTATAATGCTTTTTCAGGCAAACATGTTCACTGATTTTTCGTCTGCCTATTACCTCTTGACGCCATACTGGTGTGCATAGAGTTGAAATTTCTCATCGCATCTCTAATGAGCGATGAGGACCGGCTCATTAGCTAAATATAATAATATGACGCGCCACATTGACTAATAGGATATAAATATAAAAGGCTGAAGAAAAGTTTCAGAATTTAATTTTAAATCATTATACGAAAGAAACAGATCGTGTCCGTTGTGTGATTAAAACAAGTGATGTAAGTACTACGTCTACCCCGAACTTCCTCCCTTAGATGCGGGTGAATCAGTATTGATCCTTGCCGACTACGTGGTCAGATCGATTTAGTTTTATTGGGATTTTCAAGAGTACGTTTGTACTCTGAACGATTATGACGTGAAGCAATAACAGTGACTTATGACAGTTATTCTGTGCTAGCGACTTTCTAATAGTTCCCATTGAAATTCTTGTACGAACAGTTTACCTGGCCATAAGACTACATTGTGGTTACAGTCTACCATTCAAAGGGTGCAATAAATCTGATCGGGATAATTGAACGTCCCGTTTCTCAACGCCATTTTTTCAACGCCCCAACTGCATATTTAAAGACAGGGGATGTTTATACTTAGTATTGGTTAAGTATTACTTAACATTAGGCTAATAAAGTCTGTTTAAGGTAGAAAGTGACGTTCCATTTATATAATATATATAACTTTCAGTAGAACATTGGTCACAGCTGGGCCAGCTGGCGAAGGCTGGTTGGGCCAGAACAACGCAGAATACAGTTTTATGTATAGTCATATATAATATTTCGCTCACCCAGATTTCGCTCTATCCCCAAGATAGGTAGCAAGATTTACGCAACGTGCGAATAGCAAAGACTAGTACACCATTTGTAACGATTTCTTGAAGCGTTACCTATTTTTGATTTCTCTGTAGAAGAGAGACACCACAGATGAAGCTGAGCGGGGCTCAAACAAATAGGATTTAAAAAAGCAAGAAAACTCACGCCCTGAGTGGGCCGAGATCAATCGAGACGCGGTATGTATGGCTATAAAGGATTGCCAGGCCCAGCAATACTCGACCCACCGGAAGCAGCAACAGCACATATCTAGCAGCTTTTATCTTGCCAGTGAGAGTAGTTCGTACTACGCTTGCTTCTTCTAGAACCTCCGCTAACGGGCCATATCCAATAACTAAAGGCTTGTTCTATGCTCGTATAAGGGCAACGCCCGCTCTGCGGTTCGCCACCTGCTTGGCCGCACTGAACTAGAGAGGCTGAACAGCATCACCGGAAAGCGTAAGAACAGAGCCGATACCAAGATCACAGGAGAATCAGGAGGCAGGTAAGCAATGCGCTGCCAAGCCGGGCAACAGCTGTTCTCGAATTAATGATACTCAATGCGTGGTTTAAACAAAAGCAGTTTGAAAGAAAGAGATCGGGGGATGAAAACAGCGATGAGGAAGAAATGAATGCGGGGCCTGGAGCCGCTCTGTAACAGCCGATCTCTCTACGACAGTAAGTGCGAAGGGAGCAGGTGTAGAAGAAGGTCGAAAAACGTTGACGTATTCTTGCATAGGGCCGTATGATCCCGTACGGACAGACTTACACAGACGCTGACGTGCAAGCATACGCGCTTTCAGACACCGCCATTTACAGGCGTCCAAACAAGATGCCCATAATCCAGAAGAAAAGTTGCACGAGGGCTGACAGTTTTTGACACATACCTCCATAAAGTGCGCCCACAGAAACAACCTATAAAGAGTAAAAGATAGCATAATACACGAAAATAACATTATATGGCTTACACTGCATGTTATATAACATAATATTGTATTCGAGATAAGAGGATTTCCTATCCGCGCTGCAGGTTCATTTTCGGGAAAACTAACTTTCAACGGCCCGTGCACCTGTAGGTTATATTACACGTCATTATCCTTTTTTTCTCTTATTATTACTAATGCACACATGGTGTAGGTATATTTTAACATATTAATTTAGTGAAAATAAATTATTTAATGATACAGTATATCTGAAATTAAGTTAGTGACCACTGCTTTTAGTAGTACCATATTCTGGACTTCCATGAGTTTTGAATTATCAGAAGTTTTTCTAAAAATGGCCAAATTTCCCATGTTAAAATCTATCGAGCTGATTGACGATTCGAAAACTTGTAAAGGTACGTAGAACACGTCATTAAAGATGGATACGTACGCTGCTGAAGCTTTGAAGGCGATCCTCGTATCGCCAAGAAGCAAGCAGCGGTTTTTGCCCTATATATATACATATATAAACATGAATGTCTTATATATCTAAAAGTGTTCACCTAATCAGTCTATTTCTGCAACAGTTACTGAGCACAGAAGTACGTCTACTACGACTTCTGCGTGCCGCATTCAAAGAAACATGCTTTGTAATGGTGCGGACGGCTGATGCACTGAGCTGCACCGAGCACGATCGTAGCCGAACGCGTCAAGTTACTAACATGACGTTGGGGTTGACGAATTAGAGTCAAGGGCGAAAAACATGTAGAACAACAAATAAACCGGAACCCCATGTAGGCATTCATAGAGGTATGTTAGCGGAGTAAAATAAGCTTATGAGAAGAGACCGCTAAGACAGGAATCCTAACCGATCGGTACTCGTTGTTTCAAGCTAGCAGCAAATAACGGCGTCTTGCCTCCAAACGCTCCCTAGAAAGAGACAGCTATATTGTGATGTTTGTTGGATTCATTACAGAAGCAGACGTTTACATTTATTTATTACATGTGGAAGTCCAATTTCCTCAATTTGTACATGAGCTGCATTATAGCGAGGTTCCTTTACATATTGAACATGTTATAATCTATATTAGATATTATGTTATAATAGTATTAGATGTTATTAGTATTATTGTACATTTAACTTTAAATTCACTGGCACTATAAGTATAGATTAGTAACTTACATGTTGTTCTTCCATCACGGGGGGTGAATAGAGGGCAGGAGAATGTGATGGTATGTACAAGTACTAGCAAATTTCGCGACAGATGTCCCGACTTGCCTTGTCTGTTGCCATAGCTAAATTTAGTCCTTTATCATCCGTACACTCTGCTTTACGGCCTAAAATGCAAGCAGTTATCTCCGCATCAGCTTCAGCTTCAAATCTTTGGTGCCCTGTCCCAAGCGCCTTCAGCCTCATTGCTTAGCCCATTCTTAGTACAACTTGTACCATCGCTTCTAGTGATTATTGTCGAGTCGGCTATATCGAACTAGTCTGAATTATTCAATTAGGGATGCGCTCTATTTTGCCCACCAACCTGCTTGCCCTTCCGGTAGCAACGGGGCTTGCAGCAAAACCTTTTTGGAAGGAGGACATGCGGGTTGACGCGAAAACGACGCAACGGAGAGCTTCCCTGGTGGACACATTCTGTGTTTTTATACGGCAGTATGGAGAGGTAGGATAAAGGAACTATTGGCGAAACGGGCTACTTTGGTCTATGTGGAAATATCATGGCGGCGTGATGTTTTGCATCGCTTGCCATAGGGCGAACAGAAGAAAGTTGGCAGATTCTACAAGAGATCTAGGTCCGTTTCAGTATAGCTTGCTAGCGCGATGTATTGTCCGTCGTCACATATGGCTCAGTGATTACTAGAATGTTGTCGTTGTATGTGGTCTTGTCTGTTCGGACAAGACAGTGACAGGGCCTGAGAACCTGTTTGTGTACGTGTGTATTGCCGTAATCACGTCTTCTCAGCACTTCAGATGCGGCAGTGGCGCTTGGCCTTGAACGACAGCAGTGAGACGCGGTTACCGTGGGCCAGTGGTGACGGAATATGGGTTCTTGGCTGAGACAGGGATCGGACAAATAACTCATTCATGCTAATGCAGCAGCAGTACCACCATTAAAAGAAGCCTGCCAGCTTGACCCAGACAAGCCTGGGTCGACCTGGCAGGCCCCCTAGCAAAGACCCATCGAATAGTTCAGATGAGGGGCTTCTGCGGTGGCAAGGGAAACGCGTTTGTTCGGACTTCTGAACCAAATATTTCCCATTCTTCTTCTTCCTACAAAAACAAAAACCCGTTTTTCCGTTTTTTCGAGGATTTCTCGTTATGCTTAAGGCACCAGCAGAAGACTCCCCTCCCCCGCCCCCAGAGAACACGAAATGCCGCCCTGGGCATTCTGCCTAGACTTTGCGCGGCGATGACAGCAGCGACAAGCGCAGGCCAGTAATGGCGGCAAATAAAAACGATTCCACAGAATTATGAAGAAACAGGCGGGAACACCGGCTGCGGAAAGAGACAATCATTGGCCGACGCGGCGAGGGAAATAACCAGACACTGTAGAAGCTGACAACGGAGAGGAAAGATCGTGGCAGGGGTGACGAGTAAAAGCTTGCGCGGAAAGAGGCAAACCAAATAAGACGACGAGAATACGGCGAACTGGATGAGGAAATGGAACCGCGACGAAACGATCTCTTACTCAGCGTGCTTTCCCTTTTCTTGCTTTTTTTTCGTATGGTCTCCCCTTGAGATCAGAGAACAAAGCGTCAAGGCGCACGACCCATTAAACCTTCAGTTCAACCACTGCTACCGTTTCCTCCACACACTGGGCTCGCGCGCTAGGACATTGGACTAAAGAAACGGATTACATTACATCTGGTCGCGTGCGATAACGGTAAGGCTAAAACATGTCACTAGAGGGGAGCGGGAGAATACGGCAACCTCGAACTGGCGCGCAGCTAGGAGTCTTGTTGATAATAGAGGCGTCGCAGTGAGCCATTTTTTGGTGAATCTCTTATTTAGGAAGGAACGGTCTACAAGCAATAGGAGCGTGGCAGGAAAAAAATGAAGGCTTTAAGATGATATTTTTGGATGACAAGGCGCAAAAGATCAGAAATAGAAGCCGGGTCGGCTGTTCTGACTATAAAGCTCAACGATGAGAGTATAAACGGCAGAGTAATATAGAATATTCACTCTGCTGGCCAATCAATAGGGATCTATCAGCGTAGACGATGTGATCCTAGTTGTACGACATACATTAGACTAATCAAGAATTGCCTCGCCGTCACATAGGCAGCTAAAAGGAACAATCGCTAACTTGATCAGACTCGTACGAAATTCGTTAAAACGAAACCCAATTCTACGGAATAGGAGGATAGTAGTCATTATCCTACGTCATGCAGATGATATTAGGTAGTAACGTTTAATCGGATTCAACTTTTGTGATTTTGTACATCCGCTTAGGTGCATTGTAGACAAGCATTTCCACAGCCTATATTTGCTATTGTAGTTGTTATCCTATAGTTTAAATGGACTCTTCAGAAATATAAACATTAGAAAACGATTTAACGGGAAAAGGGAAATATTGCCTTTTAGTCACGCCGAACAACACTTTTGCCCTTATAGTCCTAAGGTATAGCGACACTAAAGAACTCATTTAAACAATCACCATCCCTTTGATTTGTATCATATTTACCTCCACTTGAAGGCTGCATCACGGCTTTTTAGCGAGTTGTCGTTTAGTGACGAGTCTGCTGTTTGAAGTAGCTCCGTGCTCCGCATTCAACAGATTTGTCAGGTTGCCGCAAGAGAGAACAAGTTTCAACCCGATGACTCAACCGCTTTCGGCGAGAACCTCCTGTGCAAACTCTGTCACTGTAGGAAGAATCTGTCTTTGCAGCCGGCTGTTTCACTGGCATTATGAAAAGGCCAACAAACGGTTCTAGCAAAAACAGCACCAACAATCGTCTCTGTCGAAGAAGTCAGTAACGCCGGTATTCTATGTTTAAATTGGCAATGCTTACGTGACGCGGCAACCGTACAACGTTGGAAACAAACAGCAAAGCGCCACCGCGATCGTAGCGCCATCATCACGAAGACGACTGCATTGGAGGAAAGATTGGAGGGAAGAGAACTGAGATCAGCCGCCAGCATAGCAAATGAAAAAAAAAAGGAAAGAAGAGACTGGAGAAGGGGGGGGGGGGTATAAGGGAAAGAGTAAAAACACCATGGAACATTTTATCACTGGTAACTGCTGTTTTCGCGAGTACGATGACATCGTGTTCCGTTCCATTGTTCGACGGGACGGGGTGGAGAATCCGTGGTCTCCTCCAACCAAGCGATCCATTATTGCTGTCAGTCGTTAGCCTCGTGCGGAGTTTAACCAAAACCTACGCCGTGTGTGCCCATCGGTTTCAAACAGCTTCTCTAGAATAAAGCTGCTTTTCCGTCTTTATTTTCGAGGCCCTGTAAGCGACTTCTTCCAATTTCGGACTAGACCGGGGTATGGGGGAGAACGAGAAGCAACAGCAGTGGGACATGACACAAAACTTGGCGTTGCCTTGGCCCCCCCCCCGTGAGAACGATATTAAACGGAAACCAAAGTCGAAGTGGGACGAGCACTGCGATTTATCTAAAATAGAGTACAGCTAGGGTACAAATAGATAGAATAAATAAATGCGAGTCAGTGATTAGAAACATGCCTAAATATTAAACTCTCGAGGATCAGGCGATAAACTAAATACTCATATGATGAAAGTATTCTCATGCGATTCTTTGTGGATCTTCATAATCTTTATGGAGATGCATACATAGAAAGTTAACGTTGTATGATTAAAGAGTGTTGAAAAGTCAAGGCGTTTCGTGACTGAGCACTTGAGAACACGGAAGTTTAATGAAAAATGATTTACTGGAGTTGTGCTTGATTTGATTATAACTAGGGCAGTGTGCAGCGTTGAACGTAAAACCCTATATCCACCTAGTTTATTTCATTGGAACATCCAGCTATACATCTTTCACAGATCATCTATAGATCTCCGAGTATTGCCTATTTCGATTCTCTCGCATTTCAGAATTTGAAAGAACTTCAAGTTTAGAAAAAAAAAACAAATATGTAGTCATAGTTACGCGTTCTGCACGTGCTACAATAAAAGTGTAACTTTGAATGTAAAAAAGCTTATTTTCCTGAACCCCACTGATCAATATAGAGGAGGTTACTTCGTGTCGTTTTTACGATAGACCGACAGGGCGCTGAGACGGCTAGCACAGGACGCACCTCCGCTGTCAATCTGCGACAACAATCTGCAAAGGTTACCTCAATGAAGAGGGAAATTTCAATACAAAAATATGTTTGAAAAAGTATCAAGCGCGTTCCTCTTAATTAACTCTTTAATTTCTTGTCCATTTTAACACATATTTTATCTAAATCCATTTCCGCTTATAATTAGGCTAGGTATGATTCGTACATCAGTGGCACTAATGTTGATGCGGTGATAGCCGCTGTAATTCGGATTTGCCTTCTGATACCTGGGAAACCTCTGCAGCACTTTTCAGGTTACTTCAAATCCGATCATTCCTATGATAGCGTTCCCCCAAGCAGATATAAAGGTTATAAATCTCGTCGAACGAGCACGCCGATCGCCTACGGGTGCCGATGAGCTTCAGACCGAAGTCATTCACAAGCAAACGGTTCGACTTCACCCTTTTCGTTCGGCAAAATGAATAGTCTGCTAAAATGTGAAGCACTTTATTGCCGAAACGATCATCGATTGAAGGTTTTATGTTTACAATCTTTTTTCTGTAGATTTTGTTACTCCCGATTCAACTTCTAAAGATCGCAGGAAGCTTCCATGTTTAGTTGAGCTTTCTCTGAAACCGTCACGCCGAGGCTGTGACGTCTGATGTAGAAGTAGCTCCTGCCAGATTTTAAGATTGTGTCCTGCCGCTATAAAGTAACTCTCATTTTCAATCAAGCATCTTGTATTGGTGCAATCATAAGCGATGAAGTGTTGTTAGGCGCTCACAGTGCGTTAGAAATTTCATGCTTGATTTAACATGGTAGCATATAGGTACATATGGGAAAATGCCTTATATTTACAATTACATCGAGCCCGCACGAACTGATCGCGTTCGATCATGGTTGTAACAGTTAGTTTGTGCCATCATACCACATTAGAAAGAATACAGGCGTTTTCGATTACTATATCTGGCAATAATTATTGTTCCAGTTTCAATAAACGCTTTCCATTTCCGGAACTCGAATAGAAATTGGTTTTTCCTCCTAAACTAAAGTCCTCCTAAAGTTTCCACATAAATTTATAAAAGTAGTGGGTTATTAAGTCAGGAAAGACATTGGGTCATTTCGCACTGTTGCTCTTCTCGCGCATCTTTTCCAGTTTACGTGTTGACTACGCGAATAGTCCCAGCCGGCTTATTTTAAGCTCGAGAGAACATACGCACCACAAGGCTATGATTTAGGCGATTTCCGAGGGATTTCTATCAAAGTCATGTTGAAATGCCCAATGATAGAAATACATCAATCGATTTCTCAAGACGTCTATTACTTTTCGAGGAAATAATGACTCATTTTACGAGCTTGAATAATTTCTCCATTACAGCGCATATTCATACTCGAGTCACATCATATCCGTGCGTGTACCCACTACAAATCGTACTCATTTTATCGGCTAACGTCCCCAGCTCTTCCATATGTTACCTATTATATGTTCCCGGTTGATCTCTAAGCGACAGTGCAGTACTATTACCCGTTATAGTAAAACGTAGCGATGGCATTCTCTGTGAATGCTTCAAGTTATTCCGAGTGTTTCTGTGTGCACCGCCAAGCGGTACGCGGTTCTTCAAGTTTTCTATTTATATATTGGGGTGGGGGAGGGGGGCAGGGTTGTACTAAGGCCAATAGAAGTTAGAGGCTGCGGATGATTGGCTAACATACATAGCACCCTTGCTCTCTACACGCGTCTTTTTAGACCTGTACCATTTTGTTCTGAATTTCTGTCTCTGGCTGTCCTTTAATCGGTCTGTCCATCTGGCTTTTCCGCTGGTTTCCGCCTAGGTAGTGGCTGATCACTGCTGTAGACATAGTTTTCCATTAAATTACTTCACGGTTAGAATGATGATGATAACGGCGACGGTCGCTGGCCTGCCACAACCATTTAGGCTGTCGGTGGGATGAGCTTAGCGAAGTGTTTGGGTTGTAAGGGGTAACGCGTGAATTAAAGGGCTCCCATCACTAGGCCTTGGCCGCCAAACCACCATTATTAGCAGCAGCAAGCAGATCATGTACCCGTTACAGGATAGGATGCCAAACTACCCGACCTTTGCCGCATCGTTCACCACTGTAACCCCAGAACAGAGCATTCTGTTGGACGTCATTGCCACAACTGTGCCTGTTGGCCGCTTTCGTCCTAGATTTCCTGTTTGCTAGGCAGGCCTCAGCTGATGGGACCATTTTAGCCTCATTACAGAGCAAGCAGTCGGAGCAAGGCTTTTGATTGGCAAGGGATTCCACAAGCAACAATGGATCAGTGAATGGCTGCTACCTTGATGAGAGGTATAAATTGTCCCGTTCGTCTATTAACTCACCTTTCGCTCTCGTACTAGATGACATGGACTACCCATGAGCAGACCATCCCAATTTTCGCGAACGGGTCGGGTAAAAAGAGGCATGTTAGGTATGCTTTATACGGAAAAAGATTAGGTATCTAGTCAGTTAAAAGGATGGTCCCGCAAAACGTCGAGTGAAGGCTATTCCGGTAGGACGATATACAGGTGACCATTAATGGCAGTAGAATCAGTAATAGCGCACGGTTTCTTTCGTACAGAAAAACAGCAGGCGGAAGTAATGCCGATTGGTTTACGTATCGTATGTAAAATTGTAGGTATTTATTTAATAACAAAGAATATTCGGACAGTCTTTACGAATACATATAAGCGTGGTGGGTGTAGATTCGAAACTAGCAATACACCGAGCTCGTGGGGTCCGAAACAGCGTATGGCGGTGTCGTAGATACAGGTCAAAACATCAATTTTAACAAAATCAATAATAGATGAATTTTTTGGACGCTTCGTAATTATAAAAAAATAAGCAAACTATTACTGTGTACGCATTCTTCTTTCCCATTTTATTTTCCATTCAAAGCTTCACGGCGCACAGGGTCAGCTGTATTCCAGTCAACTTTGTACTTAAAGTAAGTCAATTTAATTTTTCACAACTTTATTTCATATGAAGCGTCATTAGAGCTGAATTTGTGCAAAGTATAAAAGAAAATTGTGCGTTTATGTACCACTCTCTCGAATAGTAGCTGCCTCCAAGGAGCAGGAACAGGACTACAAAGACAAAATTCAACCATCAAAATACGATTCGAGGATTGTTCACTCTGCGGGCCCCATTATTTAGTGAATAAAACGGCACTCAAAAAATTAGGTACGTCTGTATAAGCTAAAGGTGTTGAAAAATAGCAGATAAATTGTCTATCTGTGCCTCTATCTGGGCACACGACGTTTCTTTGCTGAGCCATATGTGAAACTGAAGCACAACTATTTATTGGTTAAGTTAATTTCGAACTATTTACAACAGAGTAATTCTTTTTCTGTTGCACTCAACTTTACGCCCATCCCACGTAAACTCACGCCAAAGATCCTCCAGCTTGGACCAGAGCATGAAATTTCTACGTATTGGCAGCATACGCTATAGCATGAATACGTAGACAACTCCACTATTCTCTGATATTTAAATTTCTAGCACGTTTGAGAATTTTACGCAGTTACGATATAAGCTACGTACGCTTTTCGTGAGAAATCTGGGAGGAACGAAGCATCTACGTTCCCTAATTAATTCCACCAGAAGGTCGTGATTACCTTCTGGTTATTCCCTATCACAAATATACGCATAGACATCTTACTTTTTCGTAACTTCCTTAAACATACTATCTACTGTTGCTTCGAACTGCGAAGCGCTGTGTAAAGCTTCTAATGTAATGGCGTTTCGTAGGACCATCAGCACTGGCTATTTGTTGTCTAGTCGTGTGCTGATGAAGATCT